AGAGGCGCTTTTTGTGTGCGGAAGCGTCCGGCGTTGACACTCGGGGCGCCGGCCGTTGGTCAGCGCGGCGCAGCGGTCGCCGGCCCTTGCCTGGCCTCGCAGGTGGAGACGAGGCTGGCTGGACCCGCGGACCCGCCCGGGGCTGTGGCCGCGCCTCACGGGGCGCGCTCCCTTGCTCGGGATGCAGCTCCCAGCCTAGAAAGCGCAGGGCGCGGCGAGCCGGACCGTGGCGACCCGAGCGCCTGGCGACTGCCTTGGTTTTAAATCTCGGCATTTAAAAGATGCTTGGTTTTGAGTTTCGGTGAGAAGAAAATGGATGAGGATATGCTTAGGACGCGTTGCAACACTGAGCTTTTCTCCCTTCTCAGCTCAGGACGAGGTTTGACATTGACGACGAAACGGTATGAAATCGGATGTTCTGACAGGAATCATTTCCAGGTAGATAATTGGGGGGTGTGTATGTTATAACGGACCCCGTTAAAGAGACCGGTTTGATATCGAGAGAGTTCAGAATTAGGGTAGAGAAGTGCCTAAGTACTGCCAGCCTACTCACAGACTTTGAAGGCCTTGACTTTTAAAGGAATTAAATTCCAAGATTGTGCATGGATTATAGTCTGTTTTATGTGTTTGAAATAAGATCATCATCATAGAAAATAAGTTATGAAACATTTCAGGAAGCTGAGACTTTTTAACTCCTCCCTTTTCCATGTTTTAAGTTCTGGTTACATATTTAAATCGATATGTGTATATGTATATCTATATCTCGCACAATTACAAAAAGTAGCACAGAGGGAACAAGTCCAGTAAACACAGCTCTTTTTGTGTGTTCTCCCACTCCCCAAGACCGAGAGTTCAAATCTTAACTGCTGGCTAGGGATGAATAAGGTTCACGCAGTATACACTCTATTACTTTGAGTCATTTCCTTTTCTTTCCTTCCATTTTCTTCTCTGCCCAGCAGCCTTCATTTTTGGCTTGATAGTTTGTAGTGTGTGGACTTATTATTTGCTTGTGAATTTGTGTAAGTTTTTGTGAATAACTCCAACATAGAACAAAAATCCTCCCATTTTGGCCCCTGATCCTAAGAGTCAACGTTCCATTTTTAAGAGTAGATAATTAATGAATTTTTTAAAAATGGACAATTTTTATGTCCACACAGATGTGATATGTTCATTTTAATGTTATAAACTGTCATAACTTGAGGTTTGTGGAGCCGTAGAGAGAAAAACAATAGGACTCCAAGTGAGATTACTAGGTTATTTTTAAGCAGCCAAGCTATACAGGACTGTTAGGCCACTGCCTGCAGAAATGTGAGGAACCAAAAGAAGACTTAAGTCAGAACTGCAGAATGAGTCAGTTGTTAGAGACCCTGTGGGTTACTCAAGGGAGGAGCCTAGTCTTTCATCTATTCAGGCATCCTTTCCAAGAAGTACTCAGGCTTTAAAAAGGTTTACTCACATGGCAGAATGTGAACTAATTAGTTACTTCCTTTTTTACAGTTTTGACAAATCAGTGTAAAACGTGAATGTAGGTGGAATTAGACTAAGAATTGCTGGTGAGAAGATAGGAAACACTAGTTAAATGTGCCCTATATGAGCTGTAAAATTGAGTCTCCTTCCCAAGTAATTGCACATATAAAAAACTGCTAAAATGAGCTGAAGAATATAATTTGAATGTATTATTCTTTTTAATTCACCAAATAACTTTAAGTAGTGGGAATTGAAAACAGGTTTTTTTGAGACAGGGTCTTGGTAAGTAGCTATGGCTGGCTTAGAACTTGCTATGTAGATTAAGATGGCTTTGAACTTCTAACAGTCTTCGTGTACTCAAATTACAAGCAGGAAGGGCTATGCCCAGATATTATGTGTATGTGTTGAAGACTGAGCCCTGTTCCTTGAGCTTAGGCAAGCTCTCAACCACTGAGCTACATTTTTAGCTTTGAAGACACGTTTTTTTTTATGTTTACATATTCCAACATTGTATGGGTTTTGTTGTTGTTTTTTGTTTGTTTGGAGGAGACAGGGTTTCTCTGTGTAGCCCAACTCGCTCCGTAGACCAGGCTGGCCTCGAATTCACAGAGATCCACCTGCCTCTGCCTTCTGAGTGCTGGGATTAAAGATGTGTGCCACATTTCTGGGCAGCCAGTTTTGTGTTTTATTTTCTGGTGAATTGCTCAAGACTATAGAATACATAAAACTTCAGAGAAGTGTCTTAGTCTCCTGCTGCACTCTCCTCTTCTTCAGTCAGTAAAATCAGAGTCTTTCTCTTCCCAAAGTTGTGGTGTTCTAGGCCTTTATGCAGGTTGTTGTTGGGCATGGGCCACTGATTGTTGTGACTTTCATAGCATGACATACAGCCTTTTAATGGCTTTCTCACCTTTTGGATAAGTTCTTGGAAATGGGACACTTGTTAGTCTTGGGCACCCTGTTTTTTGCTTTCACTTTTTCATGTCAGGAATTCAGTTAAACTACTAAGTGATGGCTTAGGGTAAGCAACCCATTTAATGTTAGCATATGACCTGTTTGTCTCTCTTTAAGTCATGTTGGAGTAGAATAGTTCCAGAAAGCTGAATATGGAAGAGAAAGAGTTGAGCTGAGGTCCCCCTTCAAATACATCTTAGCTTGAGTTTCATCCTGGAAGCCAAGCCCTGGGGTTCCTACCTGTTTTGGAAGGCTCTTGTAGGTATAACTACTTCTTGTGGCTTCTCTTATCTTTATCTGGTCTCTCTTCTAGCTATATAATTAATAAACAAATAAATAAATGTTTTAGCTAATGAGGCCAGCCTCAGTTAGCTAGTTTTTGCTCATCATGCTAAATGGAGGAGATAAGCTCTTGAAACATTGCAAGTGTGTAAGCGCAACAAATGACGACAACAAGAAGCAAGAGTTTTCTGCTGTTTCTTGTTGATTTCTCTGTATTACTGGGTTAGGCAAAACCATAAAGTATATAAAATATAAAAGCAAAAGGAGTCACTTATGCACTAGATTAGGCTCATGTTTACAAACTATCAATATGATTTGTTAGTTTCTCTGGAAATGGTTATTTATAGTTAATACTCTGGGAGAAAAGAGATTAAATGTTAGTCCCAGGAGATCTGACACCTCTTCTGGCTTCCTCTGGCACCAGACATGCATATGATGCATATACATACATGGAGGCAAAAGGCTTATCCACATAAAATAATAAATCTTAAATTTTTTTTTAATTAAAAAGATTTATTTTATGTGTGTCTTTGTGTGAATGTAGGTTGTGTGTTTTTGCTAGTGCCCCAGGAAGTCAGAAGAGGGTATCTGATCCTCTGAAGCTGGAGTTAGAGGTGGTTGTGAGTCTCCTAACATGGGTTTTGGGAAGCAAACTCCAGGTCCCCTGAAAGAGCAGCAGGCGCTCTTAACCACTGTGTTATTTCTCTGGCCCCCATCTGTGTGTGTGTGTGTGTGTGTGTGTGTGTGTGTGTGTGTGTGTGTGTGTGTATACACACGTGTACAAGTAGAGGTCAGGAAACAATTTTCAGGAGTTCTTCTACTGTGGGTTTTAGGGTTTGAACTCAGGGTACCAGGCTTACACTTTTATTTGCTTAGCCATCTTGTCAGCCCCATCCCATCTCTTTTTGCCATGCTTCCTCTCAAGCCTTTGCATGGTTAGTTTTTATTCCTCTTTCCTACCATATATGCATACTCTGCCTTGTGTGCATGGGCGCACTTTACTATTAAGTTCCTTCAGCTATGTCTTAGTTTGAGCCTCATGCTAGAAGCCTGTTTGGGAAGGCTGTTGTAGGTAAGATTTTAGTATTTGTTTCTTCCCTCACCTTTTCTGGTCTCTTATTATGATCTGTTCTAGCTATACCTCTTGCTTGCCGTAAATCCTAGTCCCACTGTGCCTCGGACCACTGGAATACTATTTGTTCTGTCTGGAGTGTTCAACAAATGTCTGAGTAACTTGATTGTTATCCTCAGAGGTTTTTGTTCAAACTTCTTAGACATTGTCGCTCACTGCTATTTTAATACTCCCTTGATGCTGGGTGTGGTGGTTCATTCCTTTAGTCCCAGCACTCAAGAGGCAAATGTGGGAGAATCTATGAGTTCAAGACCAGCCTGGCCTATTTAGTGAGTTCTAGACCAGCCAGGACTACATAGTAAGACCCTGTCTCAAAAAACAACCACATGGGGGGAGGCGGGGAGAAAACAAAAACAAAAAAACAACCACACTTAACTTGTCTGGCATTCCCTTCAGTCTTTACATTTTCTCAGTAGCACTTAATGTGTTATGTTTGTTTGTCCTTTCTGTATCCATTGAGATATCTGTGTATGTGGGGACTTTGTCTCTTACCTTTTATCCTCAGTAACTAAAATGGTGTTTAATGAATGAAAGATATGCACTGGCTATTTGAATGAACCATCATTTAGTCCTTGTGTGATTTTGTTGTTGTTGTTTGTTTTGTTTTTCGACAGTGTCTCTGTGTGACAGCCCTAACTGTCTTGGAACTTGCTGTGTAGACCAAGCTGGACTCTAACTCATAGAGATCTGCCTGCCTCTGCCTCCCAAGTGCTGGAATTAAAGGCGTGCGCCACTACTACTACCACCACCACCACCACCACCACCACCACCCAGCCCTTGTGTGATATCTTAAAAGTGGTGTGGATGAATGGGGTTGTGTGAGCATACTTGTCTTGGTATGTGAGGAGAAAGAGAAGAGCCAAGGACTGGTAGAAGAGGTCAGTGAGGAGGCCTGCAGACTAGGACTAGAATAGAGTATGAGACATAAGAGATGACAGTAGGAAGAAAGGACAGATACAAGAGTAGGAGTTGATGTGTATGTGCTTTTAAGTTGTGTGCCCTTAAATGCTCATGCCATGATTCATATGTCACCATGCTATGGTGTGCATGTAGAGGTTAGAGGACAGCTAGCAGTTTTCTTTGTACTGTGTGGGCTGTAGGAACCAGACTCAGGTTGTCAGGCTTGGTGGCAAGCACCTTTACCTCCTGAGCTGTCTCTTGGATCCCTGATGAGATTTTTGACAGGCTGGAAAGGTAAAAAGGAGAAGTGGCCAGATATTATGGTAATTATAGTATGAAAATGAGTTAGTACTGGCCCCATTTTTACCTTGCTGTAAAGTGAAAGGGAAGAAAGGCCTAGTTTGTGACCTACCTTTGTTCTTTCTGAAAGAAGGCTTTGATCTCTTTGTTTGGGAAAGTACCCTAGATCCATTCCGCTGTTCCATGGTAATAAGAATCTTTAGGTCTAGAGGATTCCCTTTATCCTGGACTGTCCTCTAATAAGTCTTTTGTTGACCCAAGATTACACTGTCATGCTGCCCATCTCTTTTGAGATAGGCTTGATTTATTTCTTGAGCTTTAGTGGTATTCTTATTTATTTATTTATTATTGTTCATTAGATTTTATTTATGTGTGTGGGTGTTTTATCTGCATGTTTGTACATGTATCATGTGAGTGTCTGGTACCTGCAGAAATGAAAAGAGGTCATTGGATCTCTGGGACTAGAGTTATTGGTGGTTGTAAGCCACCATGTTGGGGCTGGAAACAACCCAGATCCTCTGCAAAAGCAGCAAGTCTCTTAACTGCTGAGCCATTTCTATGGCCCCCTACAGTAGTTTTTGATGGCTCAGATCTTGTCTCTGGAAAGCCTGCTTTCACTGGTGGTGCATATCTGGAACCGAAGCCCAGATATACCAGATGTACTGTGTTGTGCCAAATTTGTCATGATATTGTGTCAGGCCTCCACCATATTGCCCAGGTTTCATATCATCCTCTTTAAATAGTGAGTTTTTCAAGGGAAGGATCATGTCTGGTGCCTGGTATCTTTAGCACCTGGATGTAGAAGGGACTCAGTTAACAAATGGAGGCAGGTTTTGGGTATTATCTGATATTTTTCTAAGGATTTTTATTTCACAGGATTGTGTGGGTTTAGAATTTTTTTTTTTCAATTAGCAATAGGTTTGGCTGGGTGTGGTGGCACATGCCTTTAGTCCCAGCATTCTGGAGGCAGGTGGATGTATCGTTGAGTTTGAGGCCAGCCTGATCTATAAAAATCCAGGTCTGTGACAGACAGGGCTGTTACATCTAAATCTTGTCTCAAAAAACCAAAAAAGAAAAAAAAAAAAAAGGAAATAGGAGGTTTGTATTGCTTCCTTTTAAAGATTAGAAGTTAGTGTTGTCTATGTGGAGCTTTGTTCTATGCAACTTAAAAAGATTTATAGTGTGTGTGTGGTGGAGGGGGCAGCTTTTGGTTTGCATGTAGGAATCAATATACAACTTTCAGGAGTCAGTATTTCTATATACACAGCTTTTTGAGTTGCAAGTCTTTTTTTTTTTTTTTTCTTTTTGAAACAGTTTCCCTGTGTAGTTCTGGCTGTCCTGGAACTCAGGGATCTGCCTGCCTCTGTCTCAGTGCTGCTCCCACGGTCCTTGCTTATTTATTTATTTATTTATTTAATTTACTTCAGTATTTTATGTCTGTGAGTGTTTTGTTTGAATGTATATAGATACACCAGGTGTGTGCCTGGTGCCCAAGATTGTCAGACAGGGTATTGGATACCCTGGGATGGAATTTAACAGTTGTGAGCTACCATGTAGGTGCTGGAATAGAACTTGGGTCCTTTGTAAGACCTCTTGACCACTGAGCCAACTCTCCAGCCCCTGAAAAGTCTTCTTTACTTCATCTTAACTAAATATCACAGCAGGAATCGCAAAGATGTTAGTTAAAGGACTTGCTTACAGTCACTTTGCTTTATGTGATAATTTGCAGGGCCTGGGAAATTATTGTTCTGCTGCTCTATAATTTTTTTCTTTGTTTTTTGTTTTTTTGAGACAGGGTTTCTTTGTGTAGCCCTGGCTGTCCTGCAACTCACTCTGTAGACCAGGCTAGCCTCGAACTCACAGAGATCTGCCTGCCTCTACCTTCAAAGTACTGGGATTAAAGGCATGCACCACTACTGTCTGGCTCTCAGGAAAAAGTTGTAACCTAACTATCTGTAAGTGGATAGAAGGGGCAAAGGCCATTACCGTTTTCTACTTAATGCCTCACACTTCCTTCCTTCCTTCCTTCCTTCCTTCCTTCCTTCCTTCCTTCCTTCCTTCCTTCC